GAGTGGAATATTCTGCCACTCTGTGAGGTGGAATTTACATACAGTAAGATTGCCTTTTTTAGTGAACAGTTCTATGAGTTTTGATAAGCACAGTTTTTGCCACAATCAAGATATGGAATAGTTTCATTACCCCCCCTCCCCAATTTTTCCATGTTCCTTTTGTATAATTTTTAAAATAAAAAACCCTCAAAAATTTTTAAGAAGTAAAGTAGCCTTGACTTTTAGGGATATAAGATTAATAAATTGCTTTACTTCTTGGAAAAATGCATTATAGTAACAGTATTATTCATATTCTAATAATGAATTTTTAATCCTTAGTAATAGCTACTAGAAATGAACAAAGGAAATGCTTTTTTTCTTTTATCAGAAGCCTGTACTTATTCTCACAAAGGGTGTGTTAGAAAAGTTAAAGACTTCAGTCCTTTTCATTGTTAATTTTGCTGATGGTGAGAACTATTAGGAAGTTTTGGGGTTTTTTAATGGTGATTTTTTCCCCCTAAGTAACCTGTTTCTTCTTTGTAATGTATGTGAGATTAGATATGTTGTGTATATTTATGATTGGGAATGGAAAATATGAAATAGTTCTGTACATTTTCTGACTAAAAGACTTTGTTTTTTAGTTCCACAGTCATCTTTTAAAACTGTAAGAATCCACATAGTGGGGTAATATGAATTAATAAAAAGGAATGAGGGGTATCTCTACCTGTGATCAGTCTACTAGATGTAGTAAGGGAAAAAGAAAGTAGAGAAAAATGTGTGTAGAATGCTACTGCTTATCTAAGAAGGGGTGAAGGGATGCACACACACATATTGCTTATATTTTAAAAAAATTTTAAGGATAAACCATACAATAAAAAAAATGAGGACAAGAACAGGTGGGTGAAGGGACAGGTATAAAAGGTAGACATCTTTAAATGTTGTTTTGGACGTTTGTCATTGGAATGATGTTAATGTTACATAATTATAAAACAAAATTAAATCAGCATGAAAAAAATCCTGAAAAGCAAAAGCTAGATGAAAGAAATAAACCTAATTATGTATTGATTTCGTAGAATAATTACACAAAAGGAATTATTTTATGTGCCTTTTATAGGATTTTGCTGTACATGCCAAATAAGATATACTCTAAAACATGAATTACAAAATAACTTTCTTCAGTAATCACATTGTTAATGATGTTATTAGTATTGTGGACTCTAAATATGGTATCTCCTTAAAAGGAACGAGGGTTTCATGAGAAATGATGGGTTCCATGTCTGAGGCAGGAGATGTATTAATATAAGGTGATCCTGGAATATCTGATATTGGGAAGCTAGCAAAGACTAGTATTGTTATTAGTGCGCTTGGGCTGTTAACAAAATTCCACAGCACAGACTGGGTGACTTAAACAACAAATTTATTTTCTCATGGTTCTGGAGGATAAAAGTTCAAGATCAAGGTTCCAGTAGTGTTAGTTTCTCCTGAGGCCTCTGGCCTTTCCTCTGTGCATGCACATCCTTGGTAACTCTCTCTTACAAGGACTTTAGTGATATTAGAAAAGGCCCTGATGTCTTCATTTACCTCCTTAAAGGCCTTATCTCCAAATATAGACACACTGGGAGTAAGGGTTTCAAGATTTGAATTTGTGGAGGGACACAGTTTAGTCCATAGCAAATGGCATCATGTCAAACGACTCACCAGCCACTTTGAAGAGGCTCTTACTAGCTAAAGATGGGATACTTTGATTGCTGATAAGATAATAAGCAGTGGATTTAAATCTATGAGTTTGTAATATTCTTTTTTTTTTATAAAAACCTTATTATTCTGAAAACTGGTAAAGAAAGAGAAATAAGTAGGCATTTATTTTACCTTTCCTGTACATACTGTATTTGAATTACCTACTAAGTAATGTGGCTTAGCTGAAGGTAATTATGTAGTTGATGAGTGAAAGGGTTTCTTTTAATATGTAAATATTTCTAGTAATAATGAGAAATTAGAATATCACTATTTTATGTACTCTTAGTGAAATAATGAATGGACCTAGGCAATGGTCATCAGTGGCCACTACTATTACAGAAAGATTAACAGCCATAGTCTGTTATCTCCTGTTGGAAGTACATAATGTGCCTTCAAAAGTGAGCTTTAACTAGAGAAAAACCTCTAAATTTAATTACTGTATTATAGAAAATAAATAGGATAGAGGAACATGTTAGATGATATGCAATTAGCAATTCTAAAATAGGGGAAGCTATCGGACAAACAATCTAACTTCTTCAACAAGTAAATTGCAGGGGAGGGAAAAGGGGTCATTTATAAAATTTAAAAACGGACTCAAGATACATAACAACCAAACGTAATGTGTTCATCTTGGCACCTTGTTTGGATCTTGATTTGAACAAAACAACTGTAAAGAAACAATTGGGGAAGTGTGACCACTGGTGTATTAGTTTTCTATTGCTGTGTAACAACTTACTCTAAAACTCAGTGTTTTAAAATAATAAACATTTATTACCTTATAGTTTCTGTGGGTTAGGAATCCAGGCTTGGCTTAATTGTGTCATCTGACTCAGGGTATCTCAGCAAGGCTTCGTTCAAGGTGTCAGTCAGGGCTGCATTCATCTCAAGGCATCCGTCACTGAGAAGTATCCTCTTCCCGTGTGGTTGTTGCACTGGAGCCTTAGTTCCTCTTTGACTCTTTTCTGGAGGCTACTTTGAGTTTATTGCTATGTAGCCTTCTCTATAGGGAAGTTCACATACATGGCAAGCTGGCATCCATAGGGGAAGAAGTGAGAGAGTAAAAGAGGGAGAACAAGGTGGAAGCCAGTGTCTTTTGGTGACCTAGTCTTGGAATTAACATCCCAACATATTTACTGTATTCTTGTTACTGGGTCCAGGCCATACTCAAAGAAGGGGATTACACAAGGGCATAGATACCACAAGCTATTTTTTTTTAGTTTTTAATTACTATGGGTACATAACAGTTGTATATCTTTATAGGGTACATATGATATTTTGATACAGGCATACAATGTGAATTAATCAAATCGGGGTATCCATCACCTCAGGCACTTAACAGTTCTTTGTGTTGGGAATATTCCAATACCACTTTTTTATCAAGAGCTATTTTAGAGGCTACTTGCTATAGACTGTGCATCTAATAAGGAATTACCTTTTTTAGGTGTGATAATTATGGTTATGTTTGAAAAGAGTTCTTATCCTTTAGAGTTAATACTGTTTCTACATTAAATGAATTAAGATGTCCAGGATTAGCTTTAAAATACATTGGGGAACTGGCAGGGGGCAGAGGAAGTGGCAGGAGGATTATAGAGGAAACAACATTGACTGTGAACTGATAATTGTTGAACCTAGATGACAGATACACTATTGTTTCTCTTTTTGTTGATGTTCGAAATTTTCCATAAAAAATGTAAAAAGAAAAATGAACAAGGAAGTAAACAAACAAAAGCCCCCATAATACCTTAATACAAAACTACATACTCATGCTTTAGTACAAATGATTCGCGTTTGCATTCTAAGATTCTGGAAAGTTTTTTTATTTTATTTTAATTTTTTTACTGTGATAAAATATAACCATTTTTAAATGTATAGTTCAGTGGCATCAAGTACATTCACATTGTTCTGTAACCATCATCACTATGTACAGAACTTTTTCATCACCCTAAACTGACACTCTGTACTCATTAAGCAATAACTTTCTTTCCCCTCTCTTCCTACTCATGGCAACCACCATTCTACTTTCTGTGTCTATGACTTTGACTATTCTAGGTACCTCATATAGGTGAAATCATCCAATATTTATCCTTTTATGTTGGGCTCATTTCACTTAGCATAATGTCTTCAAGGTTCATCCATGTTGCAGCTTGTGTCAGAAAGAATAATATTTCATTATATGTGTAGACTGCATTTTATTTATCCATTCATCCATTGATGGATGTTTAGTTTGTTTCTACCTTTTGGCAATTGTGAATAATGCTTCTATGAACATGGGTAAACAAAGATTTGTTCAAGTTCCTGCTTTCCATTCTTTTGTGTGTATATCCAGAACTGGAATTGCTGGAACAAATAGTAGTTCTATGTGTAATTTTTTGAGGCCATGTTGTTTTCCACACTGGCGGTACCATTTTATATTCCACCAGCATATGAGCTCCAATTTCCCTACATCCTTGCCAGTACTTGTTATTTTCTGGTTTTTTAATATAAAATTTTCACTTTTTGTAATAGCTGTCCTAATGAGTATGAAGTGGTGTCTCATTGTGGTTTTGATTTGCATTTCCCTAATAATTAGTAATATTGAACATCTTTTCATGTTTTCATCTTTTCATTGGATGTTTGTATTTCCTCTTTGCAGAAATATCTACTCAAGTCTTTTGCCCATTTTTTAATTCTATAAAATTTTTTTAAACAGAAAGGCTAAATATTTCAGTCTGTCTAGTAACATGCTCACCATGGTATATCATTGCTCTTAGATCTGTATTCCTCACTACCTTTGAAGCTTCTTGGGGGCAAGGACTATGTGTCTTCTCTCTTTGTTACCATGGTGCTGCCTTGAACATAGAAATCCAAAAATTAGGAATTCTGTCACTGTATATTAGGAAAATGTACACTCAGATTTAACACTGGGATTTTAATCTCAGGTTCTTTGTATGATAGAGAAATGTGAAGGAAAAAAACTACCAGCACTGGCCCATCAAGTGATTGTCTCATTTCATCTCTATTCAAAAACTGTAGTGATATTTGTTCTTTACCCCCAAATACTCCAAAATTATAACAGAATATTTGTAAAAATGAGTATGACCATATGCATGAGTCTTTATTTTTCCTCTTGGATAAATTTTTAATTAAAGTATACATTTTTGAAATAACACTTTGAAATAGAAATATTAATGGCAGTATAACTAAAAATTTTAGTAAGTTTAGGTATCATAAAAATGAGTTAAAATATTAGTCTTTCTTTAAGAAACATGATAATAATCTGCGCCTTCTTTTTTGGTATTTGAAAGGTTGCTCTTTGATGAAGACACATCTCTTAGATCTGCATTCAGTATGCATCCTGATATAAGTGGAATATGCAAAGGTGAGAATGATTCTTTTCACTAAGTAGTCCTTTAATTTCCCAGGTATAGTAAGTCCTCTCTTAACATCGTTGATGGGTTCTTGGAAATTGACTTTAAGCAAAATGACATATAAGAAAACCAGTTTTGCCATAGAATAATTGATATAAACAAGAGTTAAGTTCCTACAGCATATTTCTGGTCACAAAAACATCACCAGACTTCTAAATAAAGACCAAAATACTTCTGATATTAAACATGGAAATAAATGTGAGCTATACATACATTTAAGAAAGATTAACAAAAACAAGATAATTTTTACTCAGTTATTCCAGTTCTGGGGCATGGGTGGCCAAAGCCTATCCCAGGAGCTTAGGGCACAAGGCAGGAACCAGCCCAGGACAGAGGCCATTCCATGGCAAAACATACATCCATACCCTCACTCACTCAAACTGGGTCAATTGAGACATGCCAATGAACCCAATGTGCACATCTTTGGAATGTGGCAGGGTACCCAGAGAAAACCCATGCAGACATGAAAAGAACATGCAAACTCCACAGACAGTGGCCACGGCCAGGAATTTTTTCTTATTGTTGAAACAATGTTATTAAAAAACTTGCTGTATTATTCCATTAACTTTTCTTTTTATATTTAGTCTTTTAATTTTACACATGGTTAGCTTTTTATATGCATCTGTAATAGACCATAAGGTCTGTGACACTAGGCCTAGCAATGGGGATTGTAGCTTCCAGAAGATGTTTAAAACTCCTAGAAAGGGCTACAGAGGTATTAAAGTGGCACCCAGATAGTTCTTCTCCTGAATATCTCCAGCCTAACCCATAGAACCTATTTGTAAAAGTAAATACTAGCGTTTAATAACTAGTCTTATTCTTCTAGACTAAAATTAAAGAATACAAATCCTTGGTAGACATATTTTTAAAAAGTTCCTTTCATCTACTAATTCTCCATTTCCTGAGCCCACTTTTAGATTGATTTAAACATTTATAGAAAAATCTATCACTGATAGTCACCATTCAGAAAGATCAATTCTGCAGTAGCTGTTTAAATGGTAGGTTATTTGCTTTCATAGTTTTTTCCTGTGTTCCCCTCCCTTTTTTTTATTTTGGAGGATGTCTGGGAATAAGTGTAAAATAGAAGAAAAATTTCCTTAACACCCATGAAGGTCTCCTAACTTTTGTGTATTGTTTTATAGTTCACAAAGTCTTTTCATTGTACATCATCTCACCTGATTTTTTTTTTTTTTTTTTTTTTGGAGACAGAGTTTCACTCTTGTTGCCCTGGCTAGAGTGCTGTGGCATCAGCCTCAGCCTCCCGAGTAGCTGGGACTATAGGCATGCACCACCATGCCCGGCTAATTTTTTCTATATATTTTTAGTTGGCCAATAAATTACTTTCTATTTTTAGAGAGATGGGTTCTCACTCTTGCTCAGGCTGGTCTCAAACTCCTAAGCTCAAATAATCCGCCCGCCTCGGCCTTCCAGAGTGCTAGGATTACAGGCGTGAGCCACCACGCCTGGCCCATCTCACCTGATAACCCCAGTAAAAAGTTACAGTTTCATCTTGGAGTGGTTTTTATTACATGTAATTGGAAAGGACAATGTGTAATATTGCCTCCAGAATACCTTCTTATGATATATAAAGTGCCACTAGGAAGGCGTTGCGTAAGACATTTGTTTCAATATTCCACCAAATTTTTTGTCTTTCGCTTTCCATTTCCAAATGATAGATCTTTACTGTTTTGCTGATTATTAAAAGTATAAAATACTTTTAAAATACAGAAGTATATAATGTACAAAGTGAACATTCCCATCCCCTGCTCTTCCCTATAATTCCCCTCTCAGTGATTGCCAGTGTTTAGTATTTGTATATCCTTCCAGACTTTATAAATATATTTTTTCATAATTGGTATCGTACTCTGTGCATTTCTTTCCTTATCTATGTTGATCTACCTCAACCTTTATTTTTTATTTTTTCATTTTAAACAAGTTTACTTAAACAACAAGATCCTTAATCCAAAGGAAAACTGATATTCATTTTTTAGAATAATTTATCCCCACTTAAAGATAGATTACATACAACAGCTATATACAAAAAAGTTATAATATTATCCTTAGTTTTCCAGTAGTAAATGAGAAACATTAAAGTCTACCAATTGAACAAGGTATGTCAGGATTTTTTGTTGTTGGGGTTTTTTTTGTTAAAATAGAGCAAAATAACTTACTGAAATATAAAGATAAGAGCTGAGTGAGCATGATACTGATGGAGAAAGGGGGTATTTTCACAGAACCAGTATTTTTTCCCATCTCAACTCCATTTGATGTCAATCAAAACTTATCATTGGCCACGTAAAACAAAAAAAATGTAATACGCTTGTGCACATATACCAGTTACTTTATGTACAATGAAGGAATTAGAAAGAAGAAAAGGAAAGAATAAAGAGAACCATACTGTAGTAGTCAAGATGTGGTAGAACTGAATTGTTTTCTAATTGCAAATGTGTTTGTGGTCTGTAAGAATAGAGTTCTGGGCCAGGCGCTGTGGTTCACGCCTGTAATCCTAGCACTCTGGGAGGCCGAGGTGGGCGGATTGCTCAAGGTCAGGAGTTCGAAACCAGCCTGAGCAAGAGCGAGACCCTGTCTCTACTATAAATAGAAAAAAATTAATTGGCCAACTAATATATATAGAAAAAATTAGCTAGGCATGGTGGCACATGCCTGTAGTCCCAGCTACTCAGGAGGCTGAGGCAGAAGGATTGCTTGAGCCCAGGAATTTGAGGTTGCTGTGAGCTAGGCTGACGCCATGGCACTCACTCTAGCTGGAGCAACAGAGTGAGACTCTGTCTCAAAAAAAAAGAATAGAGTTCTGGAGCAAAGTAACAGGTTTTCTTTTAAGTAGACACTTCCTGTCTGCTACTGGAGCATACCAATTTTATCTTCATCCTCCATTCATACCTATACAGGTATGTCTATTTCATTGATTGGCTGCCTATCAAATCAGAATCCGATCTGTCTCATTGACAGACCCTATCATTCACAATAGGTTTCATTAGTTTATTAAGTGTTGTGTGGCTCTTAATCTTAAACTGCATCACAGAACTGTCCTGCCTGCCACCTTCAAATTAACATGATTGTTGTTCTCAGTCTTAACTTCTTCCTTGGGCTTGTTTGTTGACCATGGGAAGTGCCAGAGTCTCCTCAGCTGCCACTATACAAAAGAGATATCAAGTCCATGTTGAAGGAGCTTACTTCAGCCTTTTAAATTGCTACATATTCTTCCATTGTATGAATATACCATATTTAATTAATTAATGATATTTATGATGTTTCTCAATACTGTTACAACTATGAATATCCTATTTGTACCTTTGCCTACTTTTCTGATTATTTCCTTAGAATAGTTATCTGAAAGTAGATTTTCTTTGAAGGGGTGTACATGTGTCAGCTCTTGACGTATATTATCCCCTAAAAAGATGTGTTTTTCCCCCTAGAACCAAGACAAGACACATTCAGTCTTTGCCAAATAAAAAGTATCTGATTATTTCAATTTGTATTTTCAAAAAGTATCAGGGTTAGGCCTATTTCAATATTGATCATTTATAATTATTTTTATATGTAAATTATCTGCATACATCTCCTAATTATTTTCATTTCATTACTGATTTATAAGAACATTTGATATATTAAAAATAGCAAACCTTTGTTTTATATATAGCAAATAGTTTTACTCAGTTTCCTGGTTATTTTTTAATATTATTCATGATATATTTTGTAGTGAAGAAATTTTAAGTTTTTGTATAGTAAAACTGTCTTTTTTTTTTTTGTCAAAACTAGAAATATTTTACCTACCTCTAAACCATAAACATATATTCTTTTATCTTTATTTCCATTTATTACATTTATAGTTTTTACATTTATGTTTTTAATCTGTTTGGAATATTTTGGCATATGGGAAAGGTAGGGCTCTAACTTTATTTTTTCAAATGCTTTACCAGTTGTCCCAATATTATTTATTGAATAATCCATCTTGTTGCCACTGTTTAAAATGCCATTGTTGTCATATATTAAATTCCCAGATATATATAGGCCTGTTTCCCACTCTTTGTTTTGTTTCATCTATCTATTTGACTATTTCTATACCATCACTGCATTATTTTATTCTTAGCTTTTAGTATATTTCTGTATCTGGTAGGGAAAATGTCCTCCCACATAGAGTAGCTGACTATAGCATTCATCCTAAACTTTTTTGGTACAAACAGCAAGCTCAGTACAGTATGAGACTTTAACCACTGTGTCCTTCCAATTTACCCTCTTCCAAATTTCATTGGTGGGATTAGCTCTGAGCTTGGTGGTTTTTAGAACTCTGATGGAAGAAATCCATATGGTTACTTCTGAGGGAGCCTTTCCTATGTTGAGTGACAAGCTGTGTTTCAGCTTGGGGTGCTGTAACAAAATTCTATAGACTGGGTGGTTTAAACTGCAGACATTTATTTCTCATAGTTCTAGGGGATGGGAAGTCCAAGATCAAGGTGGTGGCATATTTAGTTCTTGGTGGGGGCCTCTTTCTGGATTGCAGGTGGCTGCTGTATTGCTGTGTGCTCACATGACCTTTTCTTTGTGCTCAGAGAGAGCTCTGGTTTCTCCACCTTTTAAAAATAAAGATGCTAATCACATGAGAGATTATGAGGGCTGTACCTTCAAAACCTCATCTAACCCTAATTACCTCCCAAAGGTCCTACCTCCTATCATCACATTGGAGGTCAGGGCTTCAGTGTATGAATTTGAGGGGACGCAGTCAGTCCATAACAAGCTGTTTACTACTGCTTCATTTTCCTTTAATCCAATCCCATGTTTTGATCTATGGAGGGCATATTTCCTTTTTTCCCATTGCTACTTCAGATTTTAAAGAACCCAGAAAACTAACCACTTCTTTGAATACTTTTCTAGGAACTTGGAAGGGAAGAAAAGTTAAAATATGGGCTCGATTTGTCGTTTTGAAACAAATCTCTGGCATTGTTTGAATTACGTACTAGCATTATGTGTTCTAAAAAATGACCTAAAATGAAGTTAAAAAAAGAAATTATTTGTGGTTCTTAAGTCTATATAATTTTCTATACCTATTCTTCACCTTAATTCATCCTGAGACAAAGAAATATCAAGTATTATTTTGTTCAGTATACTATATCTGTTTCCTCCTAATTAATAATTTAAAAACATTAACACATAAAAGTGGCAGTTATGAAATTATGATATACAAGATGATTTTTAATGATATTTTGCCATATCTATAAAATCCTTAGGTCACTGTCAATGACCTAAGAGCAATAAAACTATTGCAAATGATTTATGATTATATTTCATTCTAGGTATGCCTTCTCCTGAGATTCAACCTGGGTTCACACTCAGAGAGGATCTGCAAGAGCAAACGAATAAAAATAAGATGATGTGTGTTCTTAGTGAGGATACAATATTACAGGTGTGTAGCATGTTGGCTGAATACATACTTATTAAAAATTGGAAATGCTATCTCTTAGAGTGGCAAATTACTAATGATAATTCTTTTTATCTATTATTTTGCCTTTCTACTCTTCCTTTATTATTTATTGAGAGGTTTTTACCTCTCTTAACCAGTAATTCTATTTTTTTGCTGCAAGTTTGATGAAAGCCAGTTGTTTTAGGAGGGAGGATTTAAATACAACTGACCTTTGAACAATTTGAGGGGTAGGGGAACTGACCACCCCACACCCTGCCTTATGTAGTAAAAAATCTACATATAACTTTCAACACCTCAAAAACTTAACTACTAATAGCCTACTGTTGACTGGAAGCCTTACTGATAACATAAAAAATGCATATTTAGTATGTTGTATGTATTATATACTGTATTCTTACAATAAAGTAAGAGAGAAAGGGAAATGTTATTAAGAAAAATCATAAGAGAAATTAATATATTTACTATTCATTAAATGGAAGTGGATCATCATAAAGCTGTTCATCTTCATCTTCATGTTGAGTAGGCTGAGGAGGAGTAAGAAGAGGGCTTGATTTTGCTTTCTCAGGGGTGGCAGAGGTGGAAGAAAATCTGTGTTTACGTGAACCTGCAAAATTCAAACCTTTATTGTTCAAAAGTCAACAGTATTTCCTGTTTTCCTCTCTTATGCCTTTTGTATTTTTCTCTTTTTGGTAGATATGTGGAAGTGAGAAGAATAAAGGTTAAAATAGGATATAATAATTACAATTTTCATTTCCATTTCATGTCAGAGATCATCTTAAACTTGTGAAGAAGATATTTGTTTGTATAGTGTAATTTGACATATGGGCCACTGAAAAGACCCTTCTGTTGTCTTATGTGTGTGAGCATATGTCTATATACACACACACACTTCCTAAGACTTTTTATTTGTTTTTTTTAAATGCAAACATCACAGGGGAAAGTAAAGGATAATTCAGTCAGCATCTTGGCATAAATAAGTTAGCTAACTAGGCCAGGTGCAGTGTCTCATGCCTATAATCCCAGTACTTTGGGAGGCCGAGGCTGAAGGACTACTTGAGCCCAGGAATTTGAGACAAACCTGAGCACCATAGCAAGACCCCATATCTACCAAAAAACATTTTTTAAAAAAATAGCCAGGCATGGTGGCGTGCACCTGTAGTCCTAGCTACTTGTAGTAAGCTGAAGCAGGAGTATTGCCTGAGTGCAAGAGTTTGGGTTGAGGTGAGCTGTGATTGTGCCACTGCACTCCAGCATGGGCAACAGACTGAGAACCTGTCTTGAAAAAAGCAATAAGCAAGAAATTAAAAAAAAACTAAACTTGGCTGGGCACAGTGGCTCACGCCTGTAATCCTAGCAATCTGTGAGGCTGAGGCAGGAGGACTGCTTAAACTCAGTTTCAGACCAGCCCGAGCAACAGTGAGACCCTGTCTCTACTTAAAAAATAGAAAAAATTAGCCGGGTGTGTTGGTGAGATCCTGTAGTCCCAACTACGCAGAAGACTGAGGTAGGAGGATCACTTGAGCCCAGGAGTTGGAGGTTGCTGTGAGCTAGGCTGACGCTACTGCACCCTAGCCTGGGTGACAGAGTGAGAATCTGTCTCAAAAAAAAAAAAACAAAAAACAAAAAACTAAATTTGGGTACCTCAGTCTGATAGAAAGATATTTTAAGCAAATATTATCATCAAGGTACTTAAAACACTTATTGAATACCAGTAGTGGGTATTCTGTTCTACTGAATGTGAGGGTAGTGTGTGAGACATGCTGATGTCCTGGAGATCCAGGATTGGTTGGGCTGATCTGGCTGGTGAGAGTTCTTCCACTCCACTCCAGGTAATCTATGACTCAGTGAAAGAGAATGATCTCAGATAGAAGATTTTTTTTTATTAAAGGTGTATAAATAGATTTGCTCCTTTTCCTGATCCTCTGAATTAACACAATTAACCTTTCTTTCACCTCTCACACCCTACCCCCAAAATAAAACAACAAGGAAACTCTACAGTTTAATGGTCTGATCAGAATATGGGGTGGGTAGGGCCAGGAGAAAAATGCAGTCAATATATCAAAATGATAGAAAGCAATTTGTGTCCCTTATAAAAGAATTGATTGAAATGTGTCCTTGCATATTGTTAATTAACAATTGAACAACTCCAGCCCCCACTGTATTCAGTGGCATTAGCTCTTGGGTGGTAGTTCTTTGTATAGAGGAGGAAATAAAGTCAGCTGTCAGGAGCAAGCTTCCTTCTTAACTTGGTTTCTTATCTTTTGCATTTACCTTATATAGGGTCAAGTGAATAATTTGCCCTCAAAAGGAAAGTTACTGGTCCTTTAGTAAGATAAGTGAATATTATACATATTTGAAAACATTGCTTTGTGGAGACACAGAAATACCTAGTAGTAAGTAAACTCTGTTGAGTTAATCCTTGGGAGTTTCTAGGTTTATCTCTTGAAATTCCTTCTTCTCTCTAGGTGAGCTTTATAAAGCTTGCTTGGGAAATACATACATGTGGAATCAATGTAACCTTACATGTGTAGGGATGCATTATCAATAAATAACATTGAACATTAATTGGAGAAGATTAAGGCTCTCATAATACTTTATTATTATTATTTTTGTTATATGACTATATTAGTGATCACTAAAGTGCATGCAAGTTCAGGTTAATGGCTTTATTTTCAGAAAGCTTTATTATTGATCATAGAAACAAACATAGAGGGCTCCCAAAGAGAGGTCTTTTTCTAAAGATCTTTGATGCTGACAACATATTTAAGGTAAGAATTCCTTTTAAAGTGATGAAAGTCAGTATATTGTGAAATCTTAAAATGGAAGCATTTTATCTTTTTAGAAAGTATAAAAGAAAATAAAAATCTTAGGACTCCTACCCCCTAATTCCTTACGGAAAAAAGAAGGTCAAGCATGGGGGCTGAGTCATGCAACATCTCCTTCCAAATGAATAGCTGTTAATAACATTATGCATTAGCCATATCTCCACTGGAAAGGTAGAAGGCCTTAGGCATCTACGAAGGACTGCCCCCAGCAAACAGATTCTTTGCTGGCATAATTGATTCTTCCTTTACTCCCTTTTTCTCTTCAAACATTCACCTTATCTTTTGTAAAATGTAGATTTCTCGGGCCTCACAAGAATGTAACCATTTGCTTCATTACCCACCCCCTCCTCCTTTTTCTTTCTGTATGCTCTCTCTCCTTAAATACTGAGTTCCTAAATCCCTCTCTGGAAAAAAGAGTCACAGATGCCTGTGTAGCTTGAGTTTTTCCCAGGTGCGTCCTCAAACTTTGGCTTATTTATTTATTTATTTGTATTTCAGCATATTATAGGGGTACAAATGTTTAGGTTACATATATTGCCTTTGCCCCACCCAGAGCTTCAAGTATGTCCATCCCCCAGAGAGTGTGCACTGAACCCATTAGGTGTGTATATACCCATTTCCTCCTCCCCCACATCTTCCTGACACCTATGAATGTTACTACTATATGTGCACTTAAGTGTTGATCAATTAATACCAAGTTGATGGTGAATATATTTGGTGCTTGTTTTTCCATTCTTGGAATACTTCACTTAGTAGAATGGGCTCCAGATCTATACAGGATGATATAAAAGGTGCTAGATCACCATTGTTTTTTTATGGCTGAGTAGAACTCCATGGTATACATATACCATGGAGTTTTATTAATGTTTTATTAACGTTTATTAACGTTTTATTAACGCACTCATGTATTGATGGGCACTTGGAATTGTTTCCACATTTTTGCAATTGTGAATTGTGCTGCTGTCAACATTCTAGTGCAGATGCCTTTTTTATAGAATGTTTTTTTTTTTCTTTGGGTAAATGCTCAGTAATGGGATTGCTAGATCAAATGGTAGTTCTACATGTAGCTCTTTGATGTATCTCCATATTACTTTCCACAAAGGTTATACTAGTTTGCAGTCCTACCAGTAGCGTGTGAGTGTTCCTATCTCTCCACAGCTACACCAACATTTATTGTTTTGGGACTTTTGGATAAAGACCATTCTCATTGGAGATAACTGATATCTCATTGTGGTTTTGATTTCCATTTCCCTAATGATTAGAGATGTTGAGTATTTTCATTTGTTTGTTGGCCATTAATCTATCTTCTTTCAAAAAGTTTCTGTTCATATTCTTTGCCTACTTCTTGATAGAGTTGTTTGATTTTGTCTTGCTTATTTTCCTGAGTTCTATATAGATTCTAAGTTCTCACCTTTATTCAGATGCTGTTAGCATGCACATATTTTCTCCTGAACAGGTCCGTATTCTAACATCCATTAAAACTTTAAATAGCCTACTATAGTGACTTTCTGGTAATAAGACAATGTCTGTAAACTCCCTTAACATTTTGAGTACATTATGAACTCGTGGTCTCTTTCAAATTCATCTTAATCAACCTATAGAAACTATGGATTCCTTTCCCTACGTGTACCATTGTAACAGCTTGGCCAATAGAAGCACCAATGGAACCACACTTCAGTATGACTTCTTTTCTCAGTCACTTGCGCGCGGCTACCATACGTTTCTTGGCACTGCAGAAGCTTTTTAATTGATCAGGTCCATTTATATCCTCTAACTATGTTCTCGATTGAGTTAACTCTGCTTGTCTTCTATGCAGAATGCATTATCATAAAGACTGCTTCTGAGCCTAACCGAGCATCGCCATACCATGTCATACTACACAGAGATGGTTCACTCAACTTCCTTCCTTCTATAGAATCTCCTCTTAGTATATTATTATGCAGTGATTCGCTAGATAATATCAGCTCATTAAGTTACCACCCATCACAGCTATCGCTAGTTATCTATATAGATGAGAAGTGAAACGTCTAGCATGAAATACATTGTCAGTCTTGTTAAAGAGATAAACAAATAATATTACAGACCAAACTCTACGCACTAAAACCACATGTAAAGAAGCTGGTGTGGACAAAAGTGGTACTGCGTTGTAGTAACAAC